ATATGTTCCAATAATTTGTGGTTTGAACTATTGTATTTGATTATTTGTAAGAAAAAATTCTGTGTATTTTAATAACATAATTATGACAATCGATAAATTTATAATGTGGCAATTTAAAATTAATTAAATCGAATTTGAATCAATGATGAGAACTTGTATATAATAGACCTTGAATTTGACAAGATTACCTTAAACGATTTTCATTTACTTAAATTAAATGATTGCGACTTAAATGATTTCCGAGAAGACTCCAAGAATTCTGGGAACTAGTCCTTCATTTTAAAACTTTATCGAACTGTTGTGGTTGAGGCTGCCACTCAGTAAGTACCGGCTAAGTCACGCTCGAATTTACTCCAAGTAACGGCTAAATTTACACTATGCATTGTGTTGTGCTTGTAGATTGTAGATTCTAAGGGAACCGAGTGGGACAGGAGTAGCCCCCCAAGCCACCACAGCCATTTTTGACTTATTGTAGCTCCCCCACGCTCCCACCTATATTATCCCCGTCCCAACCACAAAGCCGGAGATATCCCTAAGGGAGTTGGACAACAGTTCCCGAACACTTATGGACCCATGTCCAAGACAATTGCGGCGCCGAACAGCCAGTGCCAGACAGTCGCAGGGGGAGCCCGACTTACTCAGCCTATGCAGGAGGTACTTCACTGGGCAGTGCCACGTGAAGAAATTCGCAATAGTGCGAACCCGGCTCCTACTCATCCCCAGCAACTCTGCTCCAGGCTTGCCTGCCTGCTCTCTCTGGGCCGCATTCCGCCGCGAGCAGGCAGGCAAGCCTGGCCCCCACGGCGGAAGAAGGCAGACCGCAGAAAGGCAGCGGCTGCACAAAGTCAGCCCCAGATCCCCTCCGCGCCAGCCCATTGACAACTTCGTTGCCCGCATGGCCACTATGGCCCGGCACACAAATGAGCGTGACTCTGTTCTCCGATGCCAATTCCACAAGTGCAGCAAGGCAGCCCCAGACCAGCTTGGATGTAACCTGAGCTGAACGAAGCACCAGCAGTGCAGCCCTGCTGTCCGAGAACACATAGATGGTGCGGTTTCTATACCCCCTTTCTAAATTGATTCTCAGACAGATCTCTATTGCATGTATTTCGGCCTGGAACACTGTGCAATACGGGTCAAGGGTTGCATGTACACACGTGTCCGGGCGGACAACTTGTACACCTGAACCCACACCCGACTCCGTTTTGGACCCGTCCGCATACCACACGCTCGAACCCGACCTAAGTACCGGACCACCCCGATCCCACGTCCATCGATCAGGAAACAGAACCCTGTAGCTGTGGTCGAAGTTGTACCGCGGCAGACAGGTATCCGAAATGGTTATTCTTAGAATCGGATCGCTCTCAATGAAGTCTCTGTGAGTTCTGTGGGCCAACTTTAGCCCTGCCCCGTCCTCGCCACAGAGAAGTCGGTAAGTCACTAACCGAGCTTCCTTCAATATATGGAGGTACAGTGGCGGCAATCCGATCATCACCTCCAATGCAGCGGTGGGAGCCGTCCGCATTCCCGCGGTCACTCCCAGGCAGGCCAGCCTCTGTAACTTTCCAGCTTGGCCCGCACACCCGCCTGCTGAGCCTTACGGCACCATATAATCGACGCATAGGTGACGATTGGCCTAGCAAGGGCCGTATATAGCCACAGTGCTATTCTGGGACTACTTTCCCAGGTCACTCCGATGAAGCTCCTACACGTCCACAAGGCCGCCGTAGCTCTCCCTATAACTCTATCTATATGGGTATTCCAAGAGAAACGATCATCCAGGGTTACCCCCAGATACTTCACCTCCCTAGAGTAACTAATACGTTCACCAAACAGAATTGGGCTTTTTATTCTATCCCTGCTTCTGCGTCTGGTGAAGGCGACTAAAGTGCTCTTGCTTGGATTTATATTTAACCCTACGCCTTTGCACCACCTTTCCACAACACGTAAATTTTTTTGTAGAAGATCAGAAATAGTGCTCGAAGGCCACATCGTCGGCGTATCCCCAGACACGTGCCCCGGAGCCCCTGAGAGCAGCGATTAGATCATCCACTACAATGGACCACAGGAGGGGTGAAAGAACCCCGCTTGTGCAACGACTCACAGATGACATGATATGGGGTGTTGTCAAAGGCTCCCTCTATATCAAGGAAGCAGCCAACTGCCACCTCCCGCACTTCCAGTGAGTTTCCAAAGACCCCCACCAGACTCTGCAGAGCGAGTACAGTAGACCTTCCCTACTGATAGGCGTACTGAGATTCATGCAAGGGATTGCTTCCCGGTGTATCGTCCGTATAAATCTATCAATCACTTTTTCCATTGCTTTCAATAGAAAAGAAGTAAGGCTGATTGGACGGAAAGACCTTGGGTGGTTGCTTGGTCGCTTACCCACCTTCGGAATATACGTCACTTTAGCCACTCTCCATGCCTGAGGGATGTAACCCCACGCATAGCTGGCACGAAAAATTTACAACAGTGTTCTGGCGATATGTTGGAAACCCCTCTGCAAAAATGCAGGATATATCCCGTCATCACCAATTGTATTATCATACAATAGCTCACCTGTTAGGCCCTTAACCTGATCCTTCACTATGTAAGGCTCTTGGATAAGGGCAATATCGAGGTGATCCTTCATAAATCTATGAGCTAGAACATCAGTAAATGCCCTAGCATGCTGTAGATTTATTTCGATGCACCTCACAGCCACATCATTTCCTCCGGCTCTTGTCTATGGGCTTTAGCCCTTTAGACAAAGGCTTTGCATGAGCCTTGCTTCCCATTGCCGCCTTTTTACGCATCTTGGTGGGCGCCTGCCCTGCCACATCCTCTTTTGCCGTCCCAGGTGCCACGCTAGCCCCTCCAACAGCAAATACCGAAGCAGTACCGGGCTTCTCAATGGGCTTAGGCCCTTTTGGTTCACCCGGGACGCCTGTATCCGGCGCGCTGGTCGATGGTCCTTCCGTTTCCGCCGCTTTTCTTTTGGTTGGCCTGAAGTGCTCGTCGTTGTCGCGGTGGGCATTGGTTTTTTATTTTGTCCTGCCCTGCCGCCAGCACCTTGATAGGATTTTCTTCCTTTAACCCGAACGGTAACACAGAAGAAATTCAGGAAAAGTCGGAACCCCGCTTTCCGTAGATCTTCCAATCCGGAATCATCCACGGAAAAGGTGATGGAGTACCCCTCGTCCTTTTCCTTATCCATCCTCAGCACCCTCCAGGAACTCATCTTGAGGCTGAGATTTTGCTTTCCTATCCTACTTAGAAATTTTTCCCTGGAGAGACTGACGGTTCTCTCGTCCTTTGGCACGTAGGTGACGCAGACATGCTGTTTGGGCATACCTTCGCCATCCAGCACCACGACGTTGCAACCGTCCCAAGACTTTATCTTCCTGCAGACACTGGTTATCCACTCCCTGGTGTTTTGATTATGCATGTTACGGATATCCATCCGTCCCTTTGCAACGCTGCAGTGAATTGTGGATGAGAATCCACAACTTTATCCATTTTATCCATGATGGCTACTTTGATTTTCCCCATCTGAACTAAGGATAGCCTTTCCTCTGGATGCATTCAATGAGTGATGGCCACCTTGATCTGTGCTACTGTATCCCGATAAGAAGTCATTTTCGGGTTTTGTTGAGGAATGTCCCCAGGGACCTTTCCCTCAACATTGCCCTTCATCGACCTCTTTTTTAGGGCCCTGCATCAGGGGTATTGCTTTCCGACCTTTCCCTCTTCTGGGGATGGTCGGTCACAACACCCGGTCCGCAGGCCCTCAGCTTTTCTCCTGTTGTTGCTGTTATTGTTGTTATTGTTTTTATTGTTTTTGTTCTCCATTTTTGGTCCCACGAATAGCGCGGGAAAGTATAGTTACCCATGGCAGAGCCCGGCATACCATGGGAAGGCTCGTTTAAACTGGAGGGCGCCTGGTATCCAGAGTCCGCATACTAACGATTAAGCTCCCCTTAGCTAAACCTTGACTTGGGACGCCTGTCGTCAGCTGACGTATAGATATAGGGCTGAGACTCACAAAGTAAGAGGCTCGCCGCGAGATATGACCACAACACGAACGTAACTTTGATCGTTTCAATTACCCCTTTATCCTCCGCCATTACCGGGGCCCACCACTAGGAGGTGACAGTGCGGTTGTGGGCCCCATGTGTTGTGCTTATTCCTTTTGTTATAAAAAGTTATAAAAAGAGCAACCCACTGACAAAAACCGTCGATAACCACAAGCCGATTAATAGGCTACCGATCAATAAGCGCTGGCAATTAAAAATCCGATAAAAAGGCTACCGGTCGATGAGCGTAAGGAATCGAAAGGCCGATAAATAGGCTACCGGTCGATAAAGAGTTAACATGCTTATTTAAAATACTTCTTACTTTCCTTATAAATGTTCTTACTTTGTTCATAAATGATGACGATTTTCTTTATTGCGACATTTTTTTGTTTTCTAATTCACTTTTGCAGGAATACTCTGGGAGCATATGGTTTCCACAAAACTTCTCGATTAAACTCTATTTTGCGCCATGCGAACGTTCCTATGTTTTATTGTAGTCCTTATGAGTATTCTAATAGTTGTACTCGTAACCACATGATCAGTCGATATTCGAGGTCCCGTTTCGGTTTTTTGAATCATTTTGTATTTTCACTGGGTAGATGATTATTTTGACTTTACTGGAGCTATCCGCACGATGGCCACACTTTTTTTCTACCATATATACTCGCTGCAACAAGATGTGTCATGATTAGTTTTTACGAGCTGTCATTGTGGTGGGAATATTGCCACACACTTACATAAAAATGCTTTAATTCTCCAAAAAAAAAAACAAACTTACTTTCTGGAATTATACAAAAATTATTTTTATCTTATACAAAATTTTTAATTTCGAAATTTTGCTTCCATCTGATTTTATATTTTCAATTATTTTTTACTTAAATTTATTTCAAATTTGTAATTATCAATTTTATTTAAAAATATTTTTTTTTTTCTATTTTCTAGGACAAATACATCATAACAAAACAACATTAAAATTCATAACATTCAATATCATAAACATCATAATTTTTACAAAACTGAATCGTCCGTCATATTATCACTATCAAACACCTGAAACTTTCATAATATAACAAAAAAAGAAAACAAACATGTCATACAAATCATCATATTTATTAGTTTTAATTTTGTGTTTAACTTTAGTTTTAAATGTTTCAAGTGCTAGAAAATCCCGAATAGAACCTAACCAAAGAAATAGAGGTAAACAATCTGATAGTGGAAATACTGGCACAACAGGAACAGCACCATTAATTGATAGAAAACCTATAGTATCACCAGCATCATCTGAATCAAATTTAGCTGAAAATAATAATAATGCTAATAAAGAAGAAAATAATTCTTCGGGTACACTAACGTATACGAGTAGTCAAGTTGATGATGAATGTGAATCAGATATGATTGGTTTTGAAATAGTTACAGGGTAAGTTTATTTATTTTTGTATTATTTTACTTTTTCATTTTACATGTCAAATTTCCTAATTTTTCCTCTACATTAATCTAATTTTATATTGATTCAATATCACATTTTTATTAATACTGAATTAATTATTTTCATGTTCTTCCCGCCCTTCCTTCTGTATTCGGATCTTTTAAAAACTTAAGATAGTTTAAGTAACATTAAAAAGAAAATATTTTTAGAACAAAATTTCCTCTAAAATTCCAAATTGAACATTTGCCCAACAATTATGACAAGCACTTCTTAAAACTAGAGAGCATTAGATAGCGAAATAGCAATTTGTATACCGTGAAATGTCAAAGTCAAAGCTGACTTAGTAGCTGCTGAAGAAATCACTCTTATATTTAAATATTTTCATTAGCATGTAATTAGGTGTTATCAGATCGATGACACAGTAGTTATAGCACTGGTTTTTTAACCGAAGAGTCTCGGGTTCAATTAAACCGATTTTAGAGAAATGTGTTGCTTTCTATTACTTATATTATTATTACTTTTCTTACACAAATGTTTAAAAATACATGAAATACTTACTCATGCGTTACAATATTGTGTGAAAAAGAAAGTGTTATTATGTAATTTAAAAATTCTTAGAAATCATCTTGGAATTCGAGTACAAGAACATTAAAATTATTAAAACTCTATTATGTATACGTACATATGAGTAATATGCACAATACACTCCACGTGTGTTATCTAAGTTTACAACCTTGTAAGTGTTTTCAATTCTGAACAATTTAGTTTCTAAAAGATTTAACTTTAATTTCCAAAAAAAAAAAAATGAAGAATAAAAGGAAAAACAATGATTCAGATCTAATTCAACTGATGGTGTAGGCAGTAGCTATAATATATACACATAATGTATTTACCTTAATATTAATTCTAAAATGGTTAAACTTCTTAATAGAAAGGTTTAAAATTAAACCATAATTAAAGAAATTTACCCAAATTATTCTACTTTAACACTTTTACATTATTTTTCTTCTGTAGTTCGCTGCTTATATCTTTCTGCTTACTCATTCAAACACATTTTTTAAGTCGAAAAAGAAAATACAGTTCCTATCACAGACTTTTCACGTTATGCATCTCCAATAATAATTCTTTACATGCATTGCATACAATAAGGAAGGCTATGTCATCATATCAAATTTCGCATATGCAAACTCCATCATTGGAAACTCATTTCTCTATGGTAGGGAAGTATAAATAAAATATTTTTAGAGAGATGTCGGTCTGTCTGTCTATTGATTTGTCGCTTTTTCAGCCTGTCTGTTTGTTGGTCTTTGTATGGACGCGTGTATTTCAAGTTCGACTAAATCGATATTAATGAAAATTTATGTATGAGTTTACTTTGGTTATGTCACGGATTCATTAACTTTTGTTATATGTCAGGCTCGTTGAACTGATTGTTTTTACAGGCCGATTATACTTTTTTGTTAATTTTTAAAAAAAAAATTCAACAGATCAACTTGAAATTTTATATATAAGCTTCGCAGAACATACCGAACACCGCCAAATTTTTAGAAAAATCAGGTGCCGAAACCGGATGTTTATTCCGACCAAATTTACTATGAATTCATAATTATTATGAATTATATTAAAATAATCTTAATGAAAATAGCTCAGAATCTGAACTACGGCCCGATTTTACATATTTTGCCAAAGTTGAAATTAAATATTTGAATTCAATTTGCCTTACGGGAAGTAGCTGACGGACTTTTCAAAGAACTCGGTTAATACAAAGTGAAACTTTACAAAGAGCTTAATTTACAATTTTTCCAGTTATGTCAACTAAAAGCGTGTTGTCCTTCTAATTTAAAAGAAGTATTGAAAGGGCATTTTCAGTTATGTGCTGATCACATCAGATTTTCTGTATATAATCAAAAGTATTTCATACATGTACGTGTTTTTACAACATTTAAACTTATAATGAAACGTTATCCGAACATACACATGTATACAAGTGTATAGCAAATGAGTAGTGACTGTCAATATACAATTATACATATAGTTATAAAATCAAGATTTTAACTAAAATTACTCTATGAATTTCCTGTAATTAAAGAACATAACTCTCCTTCATATACTGTAATCATGGCTTTTCTTCTTTTCTTTTTTTTCTAAATTTATTTTCAAATTTAATTTTTTCTTTTTTGTTTCTTTGTTTTTATTTTAGATATGTTTTCTCAGCACCGGAGAAAATTATAGATTCGCTACCCGGTACATTAATGTTAACTGAATGCTTAGAAGCATGTCAAGTAAATGAAACTTGCAGTTCAGTTAATTATGAAACTGGACTATGTGTTTTATTCTCATCGAATGCCGATAAATTACCAGGTAAGTTTTAAGTTTTAAAGTTAAAAATTTAAGAAAAAAGTAAGAAAAAAGTAGTGAAGAAATTTATAAATTGAAATAAGTCTACTATAGGATTAAAATGACAAAAAAAAAATAAAAAAATTTTACTAAACGAACTGAACTCAAATTTTATTTTCCAAAATTTTTAATCAATTCTTGAATATATTATAAAAACTGTTAAGAAAATTATTAAAAATATCAAAAGAATTTTTTTAAATAAGTAGACAAAACAAGATTTCTTAAAAATTATTTATAGACAAGTAGAAAACTTACGGTCAAAAATTGCCGTAAGTTTTCAATCACGAGTTATGAAATAATAATATCGTCTTTGGAGCTCTTTTTTAAAATTAAGGAAAAATCATATTGAATACCATAAGAAATATACAATGGAGAATGGAAATTCAAACTCTTAATTAGCAGCAAATCATAAGAATAAAAAAAAATAACATGCATACCCACTACATTACTTGATATGGCATTACAAATTGAGCTTAAATTGAGTTATTTTAACTACAAGACAACTTAAAACCACATAAATTGGTTACTCTTAATTTAGTTGGTCGACGATGTAAGTGCCCCATTGGGTTTCATTCCAAATATTGTAAAGTTTTTGATTTTGTTCCAAAAATTCGGTTGAGCTGAAAAGTTTAATGTTTAATGTACGAGATCCGCAAATTTGCCAGTCAAATCTGTTCATATAAGTATTTGCTTTTAAAATGTATACCTAAAAAATGTAACAGTGCTATTGAATATAAGAGCAATACTCGAAAATCAAGAGAATGAGAACGAATTGTGAAAAATTGCAGCTTAACTGGTACCCTAACCTTCATTTTTAAAATCGATAGCTAGAAGTACCCTAACATTTCTTTATAAATATAAAGAATTTCTGGAATATAATATTATGTAATTTTTAATAAAGAGAAAACACTAATGAACCAATAGATTTAGTAGTATAGTAGTAGTAGTAAGAGAGTTCAACAATAAGGACCATCGGCAACCCCCATGTAATCCAATCCTAAAGACCATCTACACGAACCAACCCATCTCCCTGGCGGATCTCAAAAGCCGACTCCCCGGACAGGTTTCCCAGGCCATCATAAAAGAAAGCTCCAAGGAAACGCTTTCTCTTTTACATCATAAACGAACGGGCAAAAGAACCTGTTCCACATCGTCCCCCTCCGCCATATCCTAACATCAACAACATATATCCATCGTAGCGACCCAAAGTCTCATAGCCATTTTCCCTAAGAGGCAATGTCCCGCCAGTTCCCCTACCAGTATGCTGAGATCAGCCCTACTATACCTCAACAACATCCTCGCTCTCTTTTCATTTCTGCTAGGCCACATTATTCTGAGTACACGTGTGATCATCCGTCCACAATACCTCGCCCCTCCTTCTAGTCTCTCTATGTATGATGCCAAAAAAATTTGCGGCAAACGTTGTGGTATTAAACCAATAGGTTTAATACCTATTAATGTTATTACTTAGGAATACAAAATATGTTTCATTAAAATTAACTTATGGAAAAATTTCAAAACTATAAAATAATGTAATCTCAATTTAATTTTTCGATTTTTTAAGGCGTTGTTCTCAAATTATAGTAGTTGTATTATGATATTAATAGTGAAGTAGTGAAATATTTAATAACTAAATTTATTAGTATTCCTTTTAAATATTTTAGTGATTTGTTGAACATTAAATGATGATCTTCCTCGGCACTTAATTTATCAAACACATATGGATAAATTAACGTTAAGACATAAATTAATGTATTATTATGAAATTTTTAAGCAGTAAATTCAATTTATACTAAAAATTTTCACTATTTTCATTATTAAAGCCTTGAATAAATTTTCAACATACTTTTATTTCTGATCACGTTTAATCTTCTGATGAAAATAAATTGTAGTAATAGTGTAGAAGAGCACCAACGAGCAATTCTCAGTTTTGTTCCATTACACTAATTGTGAGTAATACGGGATTAAACATTAATTTTTTTTATATACATCATAATAATTTGTGCACAAATATAATTTAAATAATATTTTCATAAATATTTTAATTAAAATTTCAATTAATTAATTTTTTATTAATTTTATAATTTGATTATTTTCTAAATATGTAAGTGCCTTTTGCATTATTTTATAAACATAATTTTGATTCTATTAAAAGCAAAACTGTTTATGAATTTATAACATACCCACATTAATATTATGACATGTTATTATATTAAATGACTCCAGAACTGGTTAAGAATATCACAATATTCATTTAAGTCAACAAGTTGGACTTCTTTCATAAATGTAAAATATGAACGACTACGTAAACAGTGTCCGCTAAACAATCAAACAATAATTATATTTTATTGAAAAATAAATTCAATTTAATAATACTTTATGAACGTGAACATTTTTTCTTCACATAAGTGTATGTACATTATAGTATCTACCCATTTAACAAGATACAAAGACAAATGATTTTTTCCTCAAATCATAAATATTATTCTGAGAGATGTCAGTGATGTGCATCCTATATAATTTGCAAATTAAAATTTATAATAAATCAATAACGCAACGTTCATGTTGTATAACATTTTGTATACACATACGTTATATGTATGACACCTAAACAGAAAGTAATACGCTAATACATTAATGTTTATTCGTGTAAGAATTGTATAAAGGGAAAGAATGGAAATAACTTAAATTAAAACGGTACTTTTCAAATATCTAAATACATATACATATATACAAGATTGTAAACTGTAACTTTAAATATATAATGAAGTAAAATTATAATTCATTATTTTTTTTTATTAAATAAATACGAGTAATATGAAATGATCATATCAAAATCAATAAAAATTCCTTTTTCATATCAAGTATAACAATCAAGAAGAACCAGTTTGTCATATAAAATTTAAAATTATATAAGAGTATTAACACTAAATTTTGTTTATATAAGTATAACCAAGTCTTGGCAATTTTATAATATAAACGAGGAAGGGATAGATTTGATCGCGTGAACTCTGCGATACCTGTACGAATGTGATATATTTGACAAGTGATAAAAATATCATACCCTCCCTTTTAATTCCTCCCTGTAAATTCTGTAGGAAGGAGGAGAAGACCTCGGTGCACCTTCTTCTAGAGTTTGGAGCTTTGGTTCATACAATATGGAAGCTTCTGGGTGGCTCTGTTTTGGCGGCGAAGAGCTGCGGAGAATTGACTTTTGCAAGATACTTTTACTTGCTCGGGGTGTTCAATAGATCCTACTGTTTTTTTTCTGAAAAGATAACCTTGAATTTAATCCAAATTTGAATTTTGCTAAATTTCAGATTTGGAAGTTGACTACATCATTTTTCAAGACAGCTCCATAAATTGGCGATTTAATTAATTCCGGTAATTTAATTTGTCAAACTTTTGTTCATAATTTCTAAAATTTCAACAATGCAATTTTAATATTTTCTAACAATAACGGTGGTCATCAGAACGGTGGCTCTATTACCAAAAACCAAATTTGAACACTGTAGCTCTCTTAAGGAAAAATATTGTTTAGAATTCAAATCCCTACTTGCATTAAATACAAATTGTAAAGTTCATGCGGTAACCGTACATCGATTTTTCAAATAGGTTTGTGCGTTTTTGCATTACAAACGCAAAAATAAATATTGAATACCCTGCCAACATACTGTTATTAATTTTATTCACAAACAAATCTAAGTATCTCGAATTAAACAGGAATGCAATAAAACTAATTCTATATTGCAAAGTTACACATACCGTATGCATATAAAAATCAAACACGCATGTGCAAATCTATTGATACTTTTAAAACGAATTCAATTTTCCCTCTAATGTCACTTATTTATTGTTAGTGATAAAGCAAGATGTTCTTTTAAATGGAAAAAAAGTCATTTTAATAAAAACGTCCTTGATGCACAAAAAAAAAATAAAAGTTAATTGAATCAATGAATTGAAAAAATCATCATTTCACCAGCAATTCAATCGAAAAGAAAATCACAGTTTTTATACTGGTTCTTAGAAATAACGTTTAACGAAAAAATTAAAAACCTCACAGCATGGTGCAATGACCAATTGTAAAAGAACATTAGTTAAAATTATATTTTCTGCATAATAAGCGATGAATAGCATTTTTTTTGTAACTGCCTTTTGTCAATATTAATTTTTAACAATTTGCTAAATTTTTGGATTGGTTTTCTTTTAATCAGGAATTCAACAACAAAAAACGAAATAATTGCTAGGGCAGAAATTGCAATTTATTCAAGTTTACATATTTTGAATGTGAAGCATTCCATTAAAAAAAAAATTTTTTCTTATTGTTCACTATACTTCGTATTTCAAATTTATCCATTTGAAGCTCATAAGGTATTAATTAATGACGTTATAACTTGGTTCTTCTTATTAACGGAGACAACCTTAACTTAATTCTCAATTAGCACACAACTTTTGAAAAAGTGGAATAAGCAAATTATGGTTTGAAATATTAAAATCAACATATTCATTTTGGGAGATTTAATTGACTAATTTTAAATGAAATTTTATAGGAAACAAAGTAGAATCCCATATAATTTTCATCAGAAAAAAATTTGTGTGTTTACATCGTTGCCTCAGTATTGGGATGTTCTAAGTAATATGGGAAATAACAAAGTCATATTGCTTTTCCAACAGATTTTTCCGATTATTAGGCTGCGTTTTGGGCTGTAAATTCGCACAAATTCGTGAGCAGGCGAAAGAAGACAGACCACAGAAAGGCAACGGCTACATAAAATCAGCCCCAGATAACCTCCGCGCCAGCCCATCGGCGACTCCATCGATCGGGAAGCATAGCTCTGTACCTGCAGTCAAAATTGTATCGTGGCAGGCACGAATCCTACATAGTTATTTTCAGAATCGGATTGCTCTCAATAAAATCTCTGTGAGTCCTGTCGACCAATTTTCGCCCCGCCTCGTCCTTGCCAGAGAAAAGTCGGTAAGTCATTAATCGAGCTTCCTTCACTATATTTAGATGCACTGGTGGCAACCCAATCATTACCTCGAATGCAGCAGTGCGAGCCGTCCACATTGCCCCGATCACTCCCAAGCAGGCCAGCCTCTGTAACTTTTCCAGCTACTAGCACGACTCCCACATGAGGGGTGCTGGGACGGCATTATCAAAGTACGATAAGATATCAATGGATCATCTGACGACTAATCCAATCCATGGATTGAATCTGGCGATTTGATTAGCAGCTTTTTTAACCTTTAACATATGTCACAGAAGTTACTGAAAAATATGCGAAACAGCGCTACCTTTTCATTATATCAGGTAATGTCCAATTCGACAGGCGGGCGCAACAACCTTGGCTGGCGAAACGGACATAATTGAAATTAAATGCGTAACAATAAACGAATTGCAGAAAACAGTAGTAGCAATATCGAAAGCATTTCGCTCATTATTATGTCAAGCAATAGATCCTTTTGCTTCCCCCCTTTCATTTTAAATATTTTAAATTTTCCTTTTTGCAATTATTAGGCTACTTACTAATATATTTATTTTTAAATAATGCAAAAATTACATTACAACCTGTTTTTTAAATTTTATTAAATTGTGATTTCAAGTACAATTTGAAAACAAAAACAAAATATTTTAAAAACAAATGGCCGGCTATCATCAGCCAGCTACCGTCAATTTGAAAAAAAAGGTGCATAACAGAAAAACTATACTAAACAAATATTGCAGTAGGTGCTCAATTTTAATTGGATTATAAAAAAAAAAAGAAACTGAAAAAATGAACTTAACCAGCTCAAAATCACAACTAATAGTATTTGTCATAATATTTTTGATTTTATCATTACATCTTCTACAATATAAAAGTGATTTTATTGCAGTAAGTTTTTCTACACAAACATATATTTTTCAAATATTAAACTAAATGTTATAGAATTGAAGAGCCTATATGTGCTCATCATTAAAAGTACATATGCAAATTCAAAATAAATGAAAACGAGTACACACATAATATCATAGCCTATACAATACGTATGACATTCAAAGTGCCTATAAGTACTTAGGCTTCGCACGAAAATTATGAAAGCAAAAATATAAAACTATGAAGTAGTTGAAGAGTTAAATAAATATTATTATTGTGTTACACGTTACCATGTAAAGATTTTCTCCTAAGGTGATCAATTGACTGTTAGTTGACACACAAGTGCATAAAGAAAGAAAAATTTTCATTCTTCATTTCCTTTTCAGATTTAAAATTTACAAGAACATAGTTCAAAAACTATTAAGAAGTTTGATGTGTCTATTATATATTTTAGCATGATGTCGTTCTTAGAAAATTCACCTATACGAGGTAATACTCGCAATACTCGTAATAACGACATGCATGTACATGTACATATTAGATATAAATGCAAATTTATATTGAACGTGTTGTATGTAATCCTTACCTTATTATTTAGACATATTCTTAAAATATACTATGTTTTTTAAATATTGTAATTAAATTTTAATTCATAAAGAAAAGATCAGAAAATATGATAAGTTTTATGTAAAGGAAGTTACGACAATGAAAGACAAAGGAAGTTAGGGTTGATTTCATGTTTGTAAATATGTCGGCAGATTAGATATTTGGTATTAAAATTATTTTACCTGTATCACAATTTTTTTTGTTTTTAGGTTATTGTTTTTTCAACAAGTTGACCAAAATAAATATTTACAACGTTGTTATATAGCCCAAAAATTAAACTAAGGTACTGATCAGTGACCAAACAAACAAATTATATTCCAGTACGAACGTCGAATTTGCATTCATTTTAATATACTAATCATCTGAAATCAGAGAGTATGGCAACACAAATCACTATTATCTAAATAATTAGTTGAAGTTTGTGCAGATTTGGCTGATTACACTACTTAGTTACTTAGCCTATACAAATGTGCAACGTTCTTCTAAGCAAACTAATCAAAATTTTGACCCTGATTTGTTTATTTTTAAATTCGTCCATATCTCTTATCACACCACATGGTGTATAATTCTATACATTATGCCTCTAATATTAGTACATACTACATATATACACAGGTTGCAGTATGAAATGAGAAAATGGTAGATCTAAAGATTTGAAAGCTCTATGATACAGTGTATTTACATTGTATATAAATTGCCCAAAAGCTATAATTTTTAAAGATTAATTTCTTTGTTTTTTGAACCTTTATTAAATACATTTCATATTAATTATTAATATTGCCCATAAGCAATAACTTATGAAACCGAATTATACTACAATAAAATTAAATACAATGTCATCGATAATCAAATAATTTTTAATTTTAAATTTATTCATTTAAGGGAAATTTACTAGAGGCACAAATAGGTATATACCTACCGACTTCATACAAGCAGAATTATTATGCTTATAGAATATTCTAGTTTTATGGTTTTATTACCTCTCTTCATATATATATATTTTCCTAAATTGTTTCAAGATACTAAAATTAATATTTCGATTTTGCTTAGAATAACAATATATGATAAGCCTGACATTTTCTCAGGACAATTTATCTTGATACATGAAAATTTTGCAACAATGTTAGAAATTTTTGGATATGGCAATGAAAAAAAATTTGAATTTAACATAAAAATATGTAAATATCATGTATATAGATTTTCGTAGAGAAAATTCTACATAACACAATTATTGTATACATACAATATGCAACTTAGTAGCATGAAAGTTGCCAAGACATGAAATTAATAAAATTTAAATTTCTTATAAATTTTATGAATTCTATGTTAACATTTTTCAGGATTGCTAACATGTCACGATGTAAGAGAAATAATTTTAATTACTTTGATTGCATAGTTTCAATTCAATGCAATTTTGTTTGTCAACATTGTACAACTTCTCGAATTCATTGACTTCATCTTTTCATATTAAAAATTGCTTATATTTCACTATGATTTCTTACAATACAAATTTTAATTTGAAAATGTACGGTCAAAAAAAATGTGTTTCACACTTTGTATATGAATGTACACAGTTAATATAATTAGTTAGCATATAAATTAGAAGAAACTTGTTATATAGGGTATAACAGTTCCTTTAAATTGTATAATAATAATTTTCATTCCCTTTTTAAATTTTACGATAACATTTACTTTTAATGGAACATGCAAATGACAATGTATTTTAAATAAATTTATGGTTTTATAACCAAATTTATGGGTTTCATTAATTGTATAGAATATAAGGTAAATGAATAATTAATGGGAACTGAAACTTTTTAAATATAATTATAAATCATAAAATGTTAGGAAAATTAGATTTTTCTATATATGGTAGCCCTCAATTAATGTCAATTTTCGCAATTTCATTTTATATAATATGGGAAAGCATTTACAATATTATACGATATTAATATTAATTTGATTTAAAAAACGTTAATTATTTTGAGATCTCCTACTGCATTTTTATTAAATTATAGCCCAAAGACTTTGTTAGTGATATCAATAGATTTTAATGAGTTGATATGTTTTTTTATAATTAATCTAAATCCAATTATTGTTGCGCACATGGTGTGTACATAAAACATTTGCTGTAATTCATAAAATTGTAGAACCATGTATTTGCATTCGAAAAGAAAGTATAGGAAAAATTGTGCACGACGTGGCTATATGATGTATAGCGCATGTGTCATCAATCATTTGATAAGTAGGTACCTACAAAACATTTCAATTTTAAATATTTCAATTTTAAATATTGAAATTGCAGTTGGTCTACTACTAAAAATGTAGAATCGGGGAATTGTGCAATGCTCAACACCCACAACAATGTTTCAAAATAGAAATAAACTTGTTAAAAAGAACGTATTTAAAAATAACTCATAAGAAATGGCTTTTTAGTACAGCATTTAGTAAAATACTTTGAGCAAGTCTATTATTAATTTCTTTTATATAACTCTTAATTTATTTATAACTTGTTAATTTTAATAAAACCTAATATAAAAAAATAAAATTAATATAATAATATTTGTGTATTAAAAAAAAATCCTTTTAATTACAGGTGCTCTAACGAAATCCCAATTTCCAGTTTTCACAATTTATGCTCAAAAATCATGTTTAGGTGTTAAACCATGTGCCAGAGCTTGGTGTATTGATCGCGTACAAAATTATAAATTAAATGGACATGTTAAAAGGACTGTCAATGTAAATACAAGAAGAGATTGTCTTGAATTGTGTCTAGGTGAAACCGAATTCCAATGCAGGTAAATAAAATTTTATAATCCCTATATTTCTTTATATATATGAACGTATGTGATAATCTAAATGTAAAATAATAAAAATTTTTAAATTCCATAATGTATATACGCATGTGAATTCATATTAACGTAAAGAGCAAAAAAATGCTTTTACCCTGTGCATAAAAATATTTGATAAGATATTAAAAAATAAAGTGGAAAAACACATATTGAGAAACTTAAATCTTCTATACATTAGTTTTGAATTCAAACACATCGGAAATGGTACCGCATATCTTTTATAGTCACATTATTTATAAATAAGTACATGATATATATTTATGTATGTATATTATGTACATATATCCGGCGGCTGGCGCTATTATTAAAACGTGTGCTTATCTGTCAACATTTAATATGAAGAATTTTTATAAAATGCTTCTTTATTTTTTATTATTGGTTTTTCTATATTAATTCAGATGCAATTTGAATTTACATAGAGAAAAAATGGAAAACATTAGTACAGCTGCTTTATTAAAAATATTTTTTAAAGCGATATTAAAAAGCGAATAAGATTTTCAATAAATCAGTCACTAGTAAAGTAGCATTTTCCTTTTAACAGTTGAAAATACTACTCTTAAAAACAATCTGTTGCATTATTTAAAATATTATCCATTCATGTTTTAAAAAATTTCAAATTATTGCATACTTTTAGGTGCAATATATGTAATTTTTAAAATAAAATAAAAAAAATTCACGGGTTAATCACGTCAGTTAAAAAAATAATTATATTTATTATTGGCATGACATTTCCCGTTAACTATTCTCTATTTATAGAAATTTGGAAAAGTTTGTAGTTTCCATACGAAACTTAAGCTTTGTGTCTTCAAGGGTGTAGAAGTTTTGCAAACTGTTCCAAGAACGGACAGAGTATAAACAAATAAGTTTTTTTTTTTTTCAAATTTTTTTGAAAAAGTACTAAAAATGAACAAAGTTCGTGAGATTATTTGTATTTAAATCAAAGCATATGTACATGCATGTATGCAATATTTAACTACGTAAGTATATATAGAATTATTAAAAGGTACTTATCAGCTTTACTTATTTCAATTTAAATCCAATTTTCCTTTTTTGTATAAGTATAACGAATGTTTCTTAACTATTAAACATTTTCGAAAACTTAGAAGAAAAAACACTTTTTTAAATAAATTGCATTATTAACTTAATAAACTATAACAGCAAAGACCCTCGTTATTATATTGTATGAGAATAAGTATGAGAAGAATTTCAAAATATTTTTCTATAGCTTAGAACTAACTATTAATTACATGAAACTGCGAAATCCACTTATAAGTAAATACAAAATTTATGTACATATTCGAGTAATTGTAAGCAGCAACTAAGTACATTGAAACTAAATAAAAATTTAATTTTTATGATTCATTATAGTTTATGATTCGTTGTAATTTTACTATCCTGCATCGTTACCTAATTTAATTTAAGTATAGGTTTATTAATAAGAGTTTAAATGATATCTATAGGGTAATATATACAATATATAATACATAGGGTAATATTCTGTTATTCCACATACAATTGTGAAAATTTCAAAAGGAAATATTCAGGAACGATGCAAATTTAGTGGAACTTTGACTCAATAAAAATTCCTCACCTCATTAAAAATACAAAGCCAGTCGGGAAAGATTAGCTTTGCTAATTATTCTATTCTAGCTTTTTCACTTCAATTTTATATAGTAGCACTACAATTTATTCAAGCAAACCGAGATTGGCATCATAAATCTTTTATTCTATACCGAAATTTATCGTAAATAGCGGAGACCGTTTCATAGTTCCAAAATAATTCTGCCATATGCATTTATATTTTTTTTTTTTTTTTTTTTTTTACCGAGAGGAAGGGTGAAAAATCTCGAAAGACACTGCCAGACGAAAAGCAGTAGTGTGGAACTTTAATCCACTAAAAAACACCCTCCTGAAAATAAACTATAAAACTAGTTGGAAACGAACCATTAATTTTGCTCTAACCTTTTTGATTATTTACAAGCTTTTGATCTGGCACAATAACGTACTAAGTACTCATTATTCCACATAAAAAAACTCTAAACTAACTCGAGAGGTCTCGTACGTTTAAGTCTCCTAACAAAGTTTTGATTGTCAACCAATCGAGCCGCCTCGATATTGACATGATTGGATAAACGCATTTTATAATTGGCTGCTTGCTTTTTAATTTCGTCTGTGACACTTAGGATCGTGAGATCCCTGTGTATATCGGCATTACGGACATAACAAGGGGCGTTTACAATGTCCCGTAATACTCTATTTTGAAATCTTTGTATAGATTGGATATGAGTCTGCGCAGCACAGCCCCATAACTGAATACCGTAAGCCAAGACTGGCTTAAATATTTGATTATATATCAAAACTTTGTTGTATATTGTCAATTTGGAACGCCTCCCCAAAAGCCATTCAAACTTTCTGTATTCCTCCTCTAGTTGAGATCTCTTTTTCTTTATGTGCTCCTTCCATCTGAACTTCGCATCCAACGTCATTCCCAAATACTTCGCTGTGTTTGCGGACGAAATCAAGACGCCATTTATTCGAACTGAAAACGAATTGTCAATTTTCCTATTAGTGAAATTTACGTGTACTGATTTCACCTCGTTAAGTTTTATATTCCACTTTCTAGTCCATTTTGAGATCTCATCACTGTCCCTTTGCAATTTTTGTGTAGATTCATTTTCATTTCGTCCTATTGCGATAACTGCTGTATCGTCAGCAAATGTAGCTGTTGTCACTGCTTCCGATTCAGGAATACATTTATATTAAACTCACATAATATAGTTAGTTAACATTTTCATTTATGCCCTTTAATATCACCTTCAGTATTCTAATATCATCTTGTATACACACTTACATAATAATTTTTTATTTACGATATACGCGAAACCACTGTCTTACATAAATATTTTGTAAACAAAATTATTAAATGTTGTCATGTGTACCATTATTGTTATACTACATGTTTACACAAATGCCTCCTGTGGTGCAAGCTACATTAAACAAATAGGTTAAATTAAGATTAAAAATTTTTATTAAATAGATATAAATAACTCTCAATTATATTAAAAAAAAAAAGTAAAATGAAAATTCTCGCTGCGTAATCATTACACTTTTCTTATACAATTTTTTATTTTGGGTCTTTCTATAAAGAACAAGTAAAAATTTATACACTGCTGGGTCTACACAAGAATTATAATCAAAACTATATTCATTGACGTGTGCAAATGGTTAATTTAGAAAAAAAAACAATCAAAATATTTAATATTTGAGAATTCAATAAATAATTATTAAAGTTTGATTATAATGGGTGGGTACCTTTACATAGCTTTAATATTAAATTAACGTTGATATTCGCATTTAACTTCATTACAACTTGGGTGTCAAGACACTAAGTCTTGGATATTATTTGGTAATTCAATTCTAGTATAAGAGAATAAGTATAATATTAATTCTAAAGTTGTAGTCTGTTTGATAATTGAGCATAGTTAAAAAAATAAATTAAGATTTTTAAGAAATACCGTTAAATTTTGGAATTTTAATCACATATCTATATATACTTATACTATTGTGTTAATTTTTTGTCGGCATATATCTGATTTGATAACAAGTATAACATTTTATTTTGCACAGCCGCAAGAATTGAAAAATATTTGAAAATGATTATAACTTGTTTTTTGCTTACAGTTCAATTTTTCATCACAATGGTTAGACACCGTAATTTTCGTAGTCGTATAGAGCATTATTGCAAACCCTTTTTTGAATTTTTATATTTTTGAAATCGTTTTTCTTGGAGATGTTTTTCTTGAAATCTAACAAACGATGTCGAGATTTTGACAGCTACTAGAAGAGACTAATAGAAGGATTATTTCATTTGAACAAAGATTTTTCTACCTGCATCCCCTCCCAAGTTAATTACAGCCTCTCGGAATTTGCAAAATTTGCATTTCCGGCATCTTACAGATATAATATGGTTTCATCCAATTTTTGTTAAATTTCTTTACTTACTTTTCTAGGATAGGACTTTTATTGAAGCATTTACGGTCCTACAACTACAACTTTAATTATATTTTGATGATAACACGTCAGCTACACATTGCCTCTTAAATGGGTACCTTTAAGTAGTCTTATTTAAGAATAATCCCAATTTTAAAAAATTTCATTTCCAAGTCTAAACTGAATTCATTCACAAATTATCTTAAAAAAAAATAAAAAGTAAAATATTCATTAAAATTAAACGAAAAATAAAAAAACAGTTAAGACTTCTTATTAAAACCAAAAAAAACAAGTCAAATAATATTTTTTTAACCGTTTTCAACATAAATCCAATTAAAGTGATTAATATTATCTTAAATTTTAAGAATTTAGTAAAGAAAAACATAAAAAATATTTTTAAATTTTAAAAGTTCAAATTTGTATAATTTGTAAAACAAAATCCAAAATTAAAAAAAACTTTAATTCCTACCCAAAGCGTCTTATTTTCTAAGAAGTCAACAATATATTAAACTTCAACTTAAATTAGCCATCAAATTAGATGATTCATTAAAAAAAAAATTAAAACCTCTTGGCGGCAGATTTTTTCCTAAACTTATAAAAATAAAAGTTAATTGCGTGATCTTAAAACGTTTGTTTTTCTTGTTTTTTGATTGTGGTTGTTATGAAAAGATCGTAATCTTCGTTGAATATTTACAACTTAATTGTAGATCACATATTAAATGAATAGGTCTAAATTACTTATATAATATGTTTTTTTTTTTCAAAATTGTAATTGTCATCGAAATGAATTAAAGCTTAACGAAAGTGTGATGAACTTGAAAAATTAACTCTTTTGTATATGTTTTTTTCTCATTTCAAAGAGAACATACTTATGAATGTAGCACATTATATACGTACAAATTTACAGTAGGTATTTATAGAACATTATGAAAATTTAGTTAAAATTATGGTAATAG